TTGCAATGGGAAAGATGCATGTTCTTAGAAATCTATTTTTTTCAATTTTTCTGTCACATGTGAGTGTTGAGTTATGTACCCCAAGCACTACAGGCGTAACAGGGTCCTTTGAATTATTGTACTCACATTCATCCGGTACAACTTTCCCGTGTGGGTTCTGGGGCTGCATTTTCTCTAACAGAGAATAGATCCACGGCTCTTCTTACAAGCATGTCGTAGGAGGTTAGTAATTAGGGGTGTCTTTTTCAAAGTCGGAGTGCATCTGTCTGAGAGGCAATAAACCAACAGTTTGCATACAAATAAGTCAGATCTAAAAGACGGATATGCACTCAAATACTGAACCATGATCGAAGTCAAGAACTGGACGAACAACCATAGGTTTGCCATGGAGTTTGCAGCCGGTGAACGCTAAGAAGAAGAAGAAGAAGAAGAAGAAGAAGAAGAAGAAGAAGAAGAAGAGAAGAAGAAGAAGAAGAAGAAGAAAATAAAAAGAAGAATAAGAAGAAGAAAATAAAAAGAAGAATAAGAAGAAGAAAAGAAGAAGAAGAAGAAAAAGAAGAAGAAGAAGAAGAAGAAGGAAGAAGAAGAAGAAGAAGAGAAGAAGAAGAAGAAGAAGAAGAAGAAGAAGAAGAAGAAGAAGAAGAAGAAGAAGAAGAAGAAGAAGAAGAAGAAGAAAGAAGAAGAAGAAGAAGAAGAAGAAGAAGAAGAAGAAGAAGAAGAAGAAGAAAGAAGAAGAAGAAGAAAAATAAAAAGAAGAATAAGAAAGAAGAAGAATAAAAAGAAGAATAAGAAGAAGAAAAAAAGAAGAAGAGAAGAAGAAGAAGAAGAAGAAGAAGAAGAAGAAGAAGAAGAAGAAGAAGAAGAAGAAGAAGAAGAAGAAGAAGAAGAAGAAGAAGAAGAAGAAGAAGAAGAAGAAGAAGAAGAAGAAGAAGAAGAAGAAGAAGAAGAAGAAAATAAAAAGAAGAATAAGAAGAAGAAAATAAAAAGAAGAATAAGAAGAAGAAAAAGAAGAAGAAGAAGAAGAAGAAGAAGAAGAAGAAGAAGAAGAAGAAGAAGAAGAAGAAGAAGAAGAAGAAGAAGAAGAAGAAGAAGAAGAAGAAGAAGAAGAAGAGAAGAAGAAGAAGAAGAAGAAGAAGAAGAAGAAGAAGAAGAAGAAGAAGAAGAAGAAGAAGAAGAAGAAGAAGAAGAGAGAAGAAGAGAGAAGAAGAAGAAGAAGAAAAAGAAGAAAAGAAGAAGAAAAATAAAAGAATAAGAGAAGAAGAATAAGAAGAAGAAGATAAGAAGAAGAAAAAGAAGAGAAGAAAAGAAGAAGAAGAAGAAGAAGAAGAAGAAGAAGAAGAAGAAGCGAAAATTTTAAAAGAAAGAAGAAGAAGAAGAAGAAGAAGAAGAAGAAGAAGAAAGAAGAAGAAGAAGAAAGAAGAAGAAGAAGAAGAAGAAGAAGAAAAAAGAAAAAGAAGAAGAAGAAGAAGAAGAAGAAGAAGAAGAAGAAGAAGAAGAAGAAGAAGAAGAAGAAGAAGAAGAAGGAGAAGAAAAAGAAGAGGAAGAAGAAGAAGAAATGGAACGACAATAACGAGTGACTTTGATCCAGATATGGATCTCAAGCTGTACCCCCCCCCCCCTTCCCTCCCTCTCCCTCGAAGCTTAGCAGCTAAAGTGGAAGATGATGATGATGACGACGAAGATGTACCGCCAGGCTAAAATTACGGATAAATTAGGGATAAATTAGGGATAAACTGGGGATGGTTGCTTCACATCTTACATGTGCTATGTTGGCAGCAGACCTACACAGTATCCAGAAGTATTCTGTTTACAGCCTACTCAATCCTTCGTCATAACACTGACAGACACGCAAATGAACGGCACACACAACCATTGCACTGCCATTTGTCAGTCTTGTGTAGGTTGTCGCTGATAGCTGGACCTTTGTTTGTTGTATGGCAGCCAGATATGACAGGTCACGCTAGAGATCAGAGACTGGCAGAGCGGCTTACAGGGGATGGGACACACCGTGGAATTGAGCTCGGTGATTCTGCTCTGTTACAGGTTTAGGTTGTTGCAAACATGCGAGAGGGGACCTGCGAACGGTGGAGGTTGGTGGGTAAGGTTGGATGGGAGGGTGGGGACGGGGGTGGGGGGGGGGGCGGCACTGGAGATAGGCGCTGGAAGGCTAAATCACGGTTCGGGCTTAAGAGAACGATAGAACGAACTTTATCTCCAGCAGGCTAAAAACTGGGCTCCCAGGCATCTGTTGCATTGTGCCCTTTGAAGTACCTATTTTGCACACGTCAATTTTGTTGTTGTTGTTGAATTTTGTGTATTAGGCATATTATGTTCACATATCAAATTCATAGAATGACTGTGAATGGAAAAAAAAAAAAAAAAAAACATACAAAAGTATTACAGAAAATGCCTGCTTTTACAAAGATATGCAAAAATACACACACAGCAGACACACAGCAAGGCAGACGTGGAGACACTAACAGATACAAACACAAAACACACACACACACTGACACAAAACATATGCACATAAACAACACACACACACACACTTAGAAAAAACGGCACAACATTCAGAGAAATTCACACAATCACAGACACAACACATACAGGCAACATGCAGACACAAGACATACAAGCGACATATAGGCACAACACATACAGGCAACATATAGACACAAATATATCTTAAAGTCGTATAGCGTGTACCATGAAGTTCAACGTGTCAGAAGAAACAAACTTATCATACACAACAATCATATACTGTGTAGTTCGATGTTTCAGACAAACAAACTTATCATACAAAACAGACATATACCGTGTAGTTCGATGTTTCAGAACAAACAAACTGATCATACAAAACAGACATATACCGTGTAGTTCGATGTTTCAGAACAAACAAACTGATCATACAAAACAGACATATACCGTGTAGTTCGACGTTTCAGAACAAACAAACTGATCATACAAAACAGACATATACCGTGTAGTTCGACGTTTCAGAACAAACAAGCTGATCATACAAAACAGACATATACCGTGTAGTTCGAAGCTTCACGGCAAACAAGTGATTTCATGCTTGTTAGGATTTCCCGCACAGTCTATATGACAAACTGAGGTCGCCACGATAGTAATCATCTTCTAATACGAGGCAACACATTAACCTGCTGTCGCTGCTACAGTTGGACAGATCATGTACGAGTTGCTAAGACTAGGTACAGATGTATGGAAGGTGAGATTGATCATGTTCGCTGGGTCGTGTTTTTCTGACAACAGTTCGTGTGTTGTGTAGTGGAAAAGATTTGGCCTCAACATGGAATATTCTACTCCTCAATATTGCAGAGGGCTCACTTCAGCCAACCTTTATTCGTGGGGACGGCACTGAATTTTGTTGAATGAATCAGTCGTCCCACATTTAGATATTTCTGACCAACTATTTTATATATTTTGCTTTTCTAAAGTTTCCTTTTAAGTCACTCCCTACCCTATCTCTCTCTCTCTCTCTCTCTCTCTCTCTCTCTCTCTCTCTCTCTCTCTCTCCCTCTGTCTTTCTCTCTTTCTCTCTCTCTGCCTCATTCATCACTTCTCTATCTGTCACACACACACGCACACACACACACATACACACACAGGCACCTACGCGTCTATTGTAGCTCTATGCCCCTTTGGGAACAAGCAACGGAATTAGTAGAGAAACAAAATTATTAAGGCCTGGCAAGAATGAGGCATGCGGGTGTAACCAGAGGGTCTAGCCGGCTCACTACACTCAGAGGAAAACCAGACTATGACCGGCACCATCAGTATTGAAACACTGCGCTGGCTGCTGAAGATGAGGATGGAGCACGCATGGGAATGTTCCGTGTGCTGTGATGTCAATTCTTGACTCCACTCAACTCCACTAGACTAAACAATCATTAAAGATAAAATCTGAACTTTTAAACTGAAAAGCTACACAAGAAATCTGTTATTACCAAACATTAAGACGAAGAATGACATCGATTTCCTCCATGATCTTAGTAGCATCAAGGAGAATTGGCTCATAAACAGCATCCTGTAGTGAAAGCTATGGCGTTTTGGCAAAGTCATGATTATACGGACAGAGCGGCGATAAGGCGTACAGTTCTGGAAATCGAGGCCGAGGCAGACCTCTGCATTGCGGATACAAGACATTGAAGATACAATAGATATGTAGGCACAAAGTGCTAGACACATGGCTCGAGAAAGAGAGACTTTCAGGCTTGCCGTGACCAGAGCAAGATTCAGTAAAGAACCTGCTGACTGACTGATATTGAGCACTAACATCTTAGGGACGAGAATCAAACAGGTACAAATGCCGTAAACTTAGTTCAACTGCACAGCTATATAGACAGTTAAAGTGAGGAACCAACAAATGGTTACTAAGAAGCCCGTAGTTCAGTGTAGGGTGGGTTTGGAGCTTCCTGCTGTGTCAGTCAAATCTTCCCACTCTAATACGTGTCATCATCCCATATATACTAAACATACACTGCATCATTTAGCACTCATAGGAAGAAATAGAAAGCTAGAAGGACAAACTAGACAACATAAAATCAAAAGCTTTAGTTACCAGGCCGGGAATCGAACGTGTCACCTCCAAATGACGTGTGCGCCTCGCTATAGAAACAAGTACTATAAACATGATCAACTAGGCACCCCTAAAAAGGTGTCTTCATTGGACGTGTCTATCGTACAGCCTAAAATCTACAACTATGGAATACGGACAGAACTAACCATTGAAATGTCTCCATAGTTTACAGAAACGAATATTAACCAAGCATAGATGAAATAACAAACACAGCAACAATTTACAAACACAGCAGACCGTAATGCTGTGTCTAGAATACACAAACATTTAAAAAAAGAGATTTGATTGGTAGGTTATATTGTGAACACTCGTCATTCACATAAATAAACAGAGGGAGGTACCCTTGAGGCCGTAGAAATGGCTATGTGTATTAATGTGTCATGATTCTTTTCCTCAGATTGGGGACATTATCCTCCGCATCAATGACATCGATCTGACAGACATGAGTTACACCAGTGCCATAGAAGTGCTCAAGGCAGTTCCCATCGACACGCCGGTGGTCCTGCTGCTGAAAGGACCTGAAGGATACACTACCTACCTCCAGGTACGTCTTCCATTGCATATATACCTGAGGTCTTTTGTCTGCTTAGTGATGTGGTCTCCGGTTTGGGTTGGGGGGTAAGGAAGTTTCAAGGAAGGAGGAGGGCGTCAAGAAATGTTTAGAATTGTACCTGTAAATAATCCGCATTTGAAGCTTTAACAGTCATGAAAACAAAACAGAGTTGCCAGCTTGATGTGGAGAGTGGTCTCTGTTGTTCCTAGTCCAAAATCAGACCAAAAATAGCAGACATCATCAAGATTAAATAGTGTCAAAGGTCACATTGATGCCCTCAACACTTAATTATCAATTTTTGGCGGTTTACTTTGTTATTTGACATTTTTTTTCACCTGGATGTTGTTCTTCATGTTCTTGTTGACAGCTCTTAGGATTGTTCCGTTTTTTTTTTTTTTTTGTCCTCCTCTTTTGAATCGTCGGCTCTGTGTCTAAGTCGATGCGAACGCTTCGTAAACCGGGGTTCGATCCCAACTGAGGGCCATGGGCCTTGCGTTGCTTTCGAAAGTGGTATCAACAAAGACGACCTCCAGAAAGCAATGGCAAACTACTGGTCGTAAATTTGCCTAGAAAAACAACACAACAGCCAGGGCCTGTTGGGGTTGGTTCTGCAACGTTCTGTAAAGAATACGCAACTAACCCAACCTTTTGAATCACATTTTGTTGTGTTGGATGGGGGATACGGGGTTTGGGGAAAATGGGAAAAAAGGGGGGGGGGTTGTGTCCTGCCATATACTCAACCTGAAAAAGTTTGGAGCCTGTCTTCTCGTCTTTTATCACTTCTTTCAGTTACTTCATGATCAAATGTAAATATCTTCTGTGTGATTTTTCTAATTTGTTGTACAAGTTGGTTTTCATTTCTTTAAAGCTGTTCTTGATGCCATCGTTCCATTCCAACTGTTGCATGAGTTTCTCATTGTTCTGTGTCTTTTGTATTTCCTCAGCGTGGCTCTCTGGAGCAGCTGGTGCCTGGCCATTCTCGTGAAATAACCGAACCATTTCATCTGTTGCTATTTAATAAACTGCTTCGCTAGCTTCAGTCTTAGTCTTCTTCTAAGTTTTCTTTAAAGTTATTTTTTGTTTCTTTCGTGTCACTTCAGCAGTTCAGTCTCTCTCTCTCTCATAAGTCATCTAGTTGAGTTGAGTTGAGTTGAGTCCAAAATTGTCATCAAAGCACTCAAGGCATTCCCAGGCGTACTCCGTCCCCATCTTCAGCAGCCAGCGTTGAGTTTCAAAACTGATGGTACCAGTCACAATCTGGTTATATGTCCGTCTTGCTTTTCCTCTGAGTGTAGTGAGCCGGCCAGACCCTCTGGTTACACCCAGGTGCCTCATTCTCTCCAGGCCATAATAATCTTGTTTCTCTACTGATTTTTTTGCTTGTTCCAAAAGGGCCTTGACCACATCTGATTTGTCATGTATTAATTCACCACCCAGTGGTGCAGATTCAGCCAGTCTGTTTGCCTGTTCATTACCCACTATGCCGGCATAGTCTGGAGTAAAGATCCAAAGTTCATAAGACATCTATTGTCTCTGCAGTTATGATGGCAGAATTGGCAGAGCGACTGAATCAAGAATCCAACAAGCAAACAATATCGTTTATCAAGTGAATACATTTTGAAACACACGGCTATCTCAGATGAGATAAAAAGAAAAATTATAAATGCAACGTTCATCAGTGTCAGACATGGAGATTGACTAAAGAACACAAAAGAAAACTAAGCACCTGAGAAATAGATGTTTGAGAAAGGCCGTCAACAAAACTGGAAGAGATATCGTGAGAAACGAAGTTACTGCATGAACTATTCTTCTTAAAGTACATGCCGTGTGGCGTTGGTTGTCACGACTCTCTCCAGCCTTCTGTCTCGTGTACTCTCAGTCAACTCTGGCACAGATGGTTTTCTATGCCATGATGTCCAACTGTCCAGCATCTGTTCTCTCGGTCTCCCTCTGCCTCTCCTCCCTTCCAACTTTCCTACCGTCACAATGAACTCCAGTTTTCTCTTGTCTCTTTCTGATGTGGACAGTCAGATCTCTTCCTGAGTCAGTTTCTTTCAAGACGTCTTTATTACTCCTTTTATCTGTGGAGGGTATTCTCATCATACATCTATACTCCTCCCTTCCAACTTTCCTACCGCCACAATGTACTCCAGTTTTCTCCTTCTCATCTCATGACCAAAGAATGTAGATTGTCTCTTCCTGATGTGGACAGTCAGATCTCTTCGTGAGTCAGTTTCTTTCAAGACGTCTTTATTACTCCTTTTATCTGTGGAGGGTATTCTCATCATACATCTATACAACCACATCTCCTCAACATCCCAATAAGTTTTCACTAATTTACTTACTGCACTATTAGAACACCAACGATGCCAGCATCAAGAGCATACAACATGAAAATCGAAACACCAAGAGGCAGGGGAAGACCAAGAAGAAGATGGATTGAAGGAGTCACGGACAACTTGAGACTTCATAACATCACGGCATATGAAGCGACTGAGCGCGCCCTGGCTCGGTTGCCGATCATCTGATAGACTGCGACGCCTAGCGGCACAAAAGAAGAAGACTATTAGAACAATGTTTATATTTAAATTCAATGAAAAAGCAAAAACTGAAATGATGTGGTCATTTAATGAGAATGAATCCAATGATGCCAGAAACGAGAACGTACAACATGAAAGTAGAAACACCAGGAGGTAGGGGGACGACAGTTGTGAATGCTGAACTAGGAATCGACATTACAGCACTCTGGACACTCCCATAAGTGCTGAGTCCCCATCTTCAGTAGCAGGTGAAGAGTTCCAATTCCGATAGTACCAATAACCGTCTCATTGTATATCCGTCTCACCCTTCCCCTGAGTGTTGAGCGTCGCCCACCCTCCCTGGTAACTCCTCGAAGCGACATTCTCCTCAGACCGTAATGATCTATCTGCGCCTCTGCACTGTTCACCTGTTTCCAAAGGGCCCTCACAATATCTAACTTGTCATACATCAATTCACCCCCAAGTGGTGCAGAGCCAGCCAGTCTATCTGCCTGCTCATTTCCTAACACACCGGCAGGGGGACGACAAAGAAGAAGAAGCTTTATTGAAAGAGTCATTGATACCCCGAGACTCCACAACATCGCAGTATACCGGGATACCGAGCGTGCCCTAGCTCGGAAACCAATAATCTGTTAACCTGCAACAAAGCAGAAATGAACAAAGAAAACCAAAGAATTTGTAGTAAAGTCTGTGTTTGACAACGGCAGTATAAAGTTATGCCTGAGAAAAGCCGCCAACTCAACTACCTAGGACAAAGATGGACATGTTATTATCAGACAGACTGTAGGGACAACACCGTGTAGCGAATTCACTGAGAAACAGAAGATCAAATGGTTTGGTTATTCAAAAAGAATGCAGCCAGAGCAACTACCAACGCAGACGCTACACATGACAAGATCTGAAGTGAAAGGAAAAGGTCGCCCTATGAGAATATGGATTGATGATAATAAAGATCTTTTACAACGACACGAAATGACAATAGCTATTTCTGACATCAAGCTATGTATCGCAAACTGCATCTCTCTACAATGCTTAATGGCAGAAGTTGAAACTGATGATAATTACCATGATGATAACGAGTATAAGAGTTGAGTGAAGTTAAGCTGTCAAGAACTGACATCACAGAACTCGGGGAATTCCCATGCGTGCTCTGTCCTCATCTTCAGCAGCCAGCGCAGAGTTCCAAAACTGATGGTACCAGTCACAATCTGGTTATATGTCCGTCTTGCCTTTCCTTTGAGTGTAGTTAGACGGCCAGACCCTATGGTTATACCCCGGTGGCTTATTCTCTCCAGGCCATAATAATCTTGTTTCTCTACTGATTCCGTTGCTTGTTCCTAAAGGTCCTTGACAGTGATTACGAATATAACAATGACCACAAGCTCGTTCTTGTTTGAGCTGCCTTTTTAGACAAAAGTAATCCATCCCAGCATGGGTCAAAAGTTGCCCTTGTTGTCCCAGGCCATAATAATCTTGTTTCTCTACTGATTCCGTTGCTTGTTCCCAAAGATTCTTGACAGTGATTACGAATATAACAATGACCACAAGCTCGTTCTTGTTTGAGTTGCCTTTTTAGACAAAAGTAATCCATCCCAGCATGGGTCAAAAGTTGCCCTTGTTGTCCCAGGCCATAATAATCTTGTTTCTCTACTGATTCCGTTGCTTGTTCCTAAAGATCCTTGACAGTGATTACGAATATAACAATGACCACAAGCTCGTTCTTGTTTGAGTTGCCTTTTTAGACAAAAGTAATCCATTCCTGCATGGGTCAAAAGTGGCCCTTGGTGTCCCAGGAGCTAGTTTGCTGTAGTCACACTGACATTGAGTGAAGGAACGAAGGATTGATCAGGCGAGTTTGTTGCACGTACTTTGAGCGGAGATCAATCTTTGAAAGTTTATTTCAATGCCCGTGAGCGTTCAGAATGAATTATTATTTCTTTGTATTGACAAAAACATCAACAATCACTTAAACTGAGGAATTACGTTTCCCTCATGTTCTGTGTGACCCTTGAATTTACAGTTCCCTCATGTTGTGGCGACCCTGAATACAGTTCCCTCATGTTGTGCCGCCCCTTGAATACAGTTCTCTCATGTTGTGGCGACCCTTGAATACAGTTCCCTCATGTTGTGGCGACCCTTGAATACAGTTCCCTCATGTTGTACAGTTCCCTCATGCGACCCTTGAATACAGTTCCCTCATGTTGTGGCGACCCTTGAATACAGTTCCCTCATGTTGTGGCGACCCTTGAATACAGTTCCCTCATGTTGTGGCGACCCTTGAATACAGTTCCCTCATGTTGTGGCGACCCTTGAATACAGTTCCCTCATGTTGTGGCGACCCTTGAATACAGTTCCCTCATGTTGTGGCGACCCTCTAATACAGTTCCGTCATGTTGTGGCGACCCTTGAATACAGTTCCCTCATGTTGTAGCGACCCTCTAATACAGTTCTTTCATGTTGTGGCGACCCTTGAATACAGTTCCCTCATGTTGTGGCGACCCTTGAATACAGTTCCCTCATGTTGTGGCGACCCTTGAATACAGTTCCCTCATGTTGTGGCGACCCTTGAATACAGTTCTCTCATGTTGTGGCGACCCTTGAATACAGTTCTCTCATGTTGTGGCGACCCTTGAATACAGTTCTCTCATGTTGTGGCAACCCTTGAATACAGTTCTCTCATGTTGTGGCAACCCTTGAATACAGTTCTCTCATGTTGTGGCAACCCTTGAATACAGTTCTCTCATGTTGTGGCAACCCTTTAATACAGTTCTCTCATGTTGTGGCAACCCTTGAATACAGTTCTCTCATGTTGTGGCAACCCTTGAATACAGTTCTCTCATGTTGTGGCAACCCTTTAATACAGTTTCCCTATGTTGTGGCAACCCTTGAATACAGTTCTCTCATGTTGTGGCAACCCTTGAATACAGTTCTCTCATGTTGTGGCAACCCTTGAATACAGTTCTCTCATGTTGTGGCAACCCTTTAATACAGTTTCCCTATGTTGTGGCAACCCTTGAATACAGTTCTCTCATGTTGTGGCAACCCTTGAATACAGTTCTCTCATGTTGTGGCAACCCTTGAATACAGTTCTCTCATGTTGTGGCAATACCCTTGAATACAGTTCTCTCATGTTGTGGCAACCCTTGAATACAGTTCTCTCATGTTGTGGCAACCCTTTAATACAGTTTCCCTATGTTGTGGCAACCCTTGAATACAGTTCTCTCATGTTGTGGCAACCCTTGAATACAGTTCTCTCATGTTGTGGCAACCCTTTAATACAGTTTCCCTATGTTGTGGCAACCCTTGAATACAGTTCTCTCATGTTGTGGCAACCCTTGAATACAGTTCTCTCATGTTGTGGCAACCCTTTAATACAGTTTCCCTATGTTGTGGCAACCCTTGAATACAGTTCTCTCATGTTGTGGCAACCCTTGAATACAGTTCTCTCATGTTGTGGCAACCCTTGAATACAGTTCTTCTCATGTTGTGGCAACCCTTTAATACAGTTTCCTATGTTGTGGCAACCCTTGAATACTGTTCTCTCATGTTGTGGCAACCCTTGAATACAGTTCTCTCATGTTGTGGCAACCCTTTAATACAGTTTCCCTATGTTGTGGCAACCCTTGAATACAGTTCTCTCATGTTGTGGCAACCCTTGAATACAGTTCTCTCATGTTGTGGCAACCCTTTAATACAGTTTCCCTATGTTGTGGCAACCCTTGAATACAGTTTTGATTCATTTGTGTCCTAGTTTTAGAGTATTGTTTGTTACCTTACAATTGTGTAGAGGGGTTTTCTTGTTCATGTTCTTCTTGTGTTCTTGCTCTTCTTGTTCATGTTCTTCTTGTTCATGTTCTTCTTGTGTTATTGCTCTTCTTGTTACTTGCCCTTGTTCGTCTTATCATTGTTCTTATTATTAATCTGATTCTTGTTGTTGTTGTTGTTTTTTACCTGTATCATCTTTATCACCATCATTATCGATTCATCATCATCGTCGTTTATTTCTCTTTTTTTTCTTCTTCTTCTTCTTCTTCTTCTTCTTCTTCTTCTTCTTCTTCTTCTTCTTCTTCTTCTTCTTCTTCTTCTTCTTCTTCTTCTTCTTCTTCTTTCCCCCGCCCCTCCTTCTTCTCCTTCTTCTTCTTGCTCTTCCTCCTCTTCCTTCTCATACTCTTTTCTTCCTCATCCTCATGTTATCTCAAAACCGAAGTGCTAAACCAACTCTGTCAAGTGAATGGTACATTTGTTAATAATACCTCTTTTTCTTTTCGATTTTACAGCTGCCATTTTTCTGCGGGTTGATATTGTTAAACAGTTATCTTCGATCTTCAAGTCTTTTGCGCATGTTTATCTTGTTTAATTGTTTGAATTTGCCCACGACACACTCTTGTGCCAGCACAAGTAATAAGGACGACCTTTCATCCTTCACGGAACTATAGTTGATTGTCTGTGAGCCCGGAGGTCAGTTATAGGTCCAAAACGGGCCTGGAAGAATTTAGGACATTGGGGGGCAGGAGGACAGTGTCCGTAGTCCGTCCACGTTAAACCTGCTGCTAGCCAGCCGCAGCTGCCAACAGTCTCTGGTTATATTTGTGGTCTGGTTTATTTGTGCCACTTCTGTGGCTAATGTTATGATATTTCGCCAACTCTCTGGCTAAGTCCTCCTTCCTTTCAGTCAGACCGCTCAATCCTTTTCGGTGTTCGATTGTGTTTCTCCCGCCCTTATCTTTCTGGTGTTCTCCTCTTGGTTCATGTCTCTGGGCGTATCTCACTGGAGTCCGAGCATCTCAACACAACGTCCTTTACACAACCATTTATAGTTATATAATTTATAATATTTTACTTTGCCAATAAGTACTGAAAATAGTTTTTGGGTTTTGATAGAGCCGAAATTGTGAAACATTTTCTCGTGCGATAATAGGTTTAGGTTTGGAACAACGAATCAACATCATTGCAAACGGGTAGTAACCCATAAGTGCTTCGTTCTTCTTCTAACTCAAGTCTGAGTCCGAAGAAGCTCAGCACAGTTCACAGGCTCTGTAGCACCGGCGAAGATCCTGAAATATTTGGGTAGATTTTTAACTCCAAATTTTGCCTGGGCAGCGCCGTTCTTCTGTCTTCTTCTTCTTCACTTCCTCTTTTACCGCTGTGGGTGTCGAGGGAGATATAAGGTTCTGTTTCTAGCTCTTCTGGCTGCCTCGACCATAGGCACATCGTGCTGTTGTAGAGTTTCTCTAATGTTATCCCTCCATCTTGTTCTTGGTCTACCCCGTGCTCTACGTCCTTCTTCTCTTTCCATGTATGCTTTGTATGGTATGGTGTCACAAGGCATTCTCTCTAAGTGGGCAAACCACTTCACTTGCTGTCTTTGTATGTAATCCAGAATTGGATCTTATCTCTTATGGTCACTCCTACAGCCCTTCTCAGACATCTCATTTCCGTGGTTACTAATTTTCTTTTATGGTTTGTTGTGAGTGACCATGTCTGGCACTGGTAGCACAGAGTTGGAATAAATATGCTTTGAATAAGATGTTTCTTTGTGCTGATTGGGATTGTCTTATGCTGTAAGAAGGGGGGGGGGGGGGGGGGGGGCTAGCTGTCCCAATACTTGGTTTGCTTTACTGCATCTAATGTCAATTTCTTTATCCAATTTCCCATCTTCGGTAAATGTAGTTCCCAGGTATTTAAACTCAGATGCCTGTTTAATGCCTTTGTATTCTATTGCTATGTTTAGATCTGTCTTCTTTTTTCCTATTGACATTACTTCTGTCTTTTCAGTGTTGATTCTCATATTATTTGTTTTACAGTCTTCATTCATGGATGTTAGATGTTGTTGCAATTTCATGGCTGTATCTGCTATCAAGGCCTGGTCATCTGCAAAGAGTAATTCGTTGATCTTACTAAGATCTTCATTCATGGGCTTGGCATTCTTGCATATACTGTCGATGTAGGTGATAAACAGCAGTGGTGATAAGACACACCCCTGTCTTACTCCAGATGTGACCGTTAAAGGGTGAGATGTTCCCTGATTTATTCTAACTACACTTCTACAATCCCTGTATAAACTTTTGCACACTTTGATGAGGTGTTCGCTTACTCCATATCTTGTCATTATTTTCCATAATAATTGTCTGTCAACTCTGTCAAATGCCTTCTTTTGGTCTACGAATGCCACAAATAAGTTCTTATTGTATTCAATGTTCTTTTCTATTAACTGTTTAAGTGTGAAGATTGCAGCGCCGTTTCGCTAATCTTTTCGATTTCCAAACTGGACAGAGATTTGTTTTACGTGCGCAACAATGCACACGGGCGTCCGATCTCACTACTCAGAGACCAGGGGGAATTACTAGAAGTCCAAGTCCAATTGAAAAAAATCCCAGCCCTTATCGAGGGTTGAACCCAGAACCTCTAGCACTCGAGGCGGCCACCATGCCTTGAGACCACGAAGCCTCCTCGTGTGACCATAGTGGTCTTATATATGTCTTTCTGTAATAAGAGCGGGTTAGGCATGTCATGGAGATGTGTGTGCAACAATACGTAAAGTCTCACAATGATTATAGTCGTCATAAGTCATACAACGGCCAGGTGTAGGGGTAAGGTTCGTGGATGGGCTTAGGTGTACGTAAGTAACAGATCCTCAGAGCACCTAACTCAAGTGCTCTTCGCTGAATGCTGTTCAGGATCAATGCGACTGTAACTCTCATGCTTCAAAACTCAAGTGTTCAACAGTATCTGTAGGTAAAGAGCTTGCTATATTTGTCTAGCCTGTCTTCGCTGTTCAGCTGCCCGTTTGTGATCTATAAGTTAACTTGGTGGATGTTTTTGATCTATAAGTTAACATGGTGGATTTTTTTTTTTAAAATTTATAAGTTAACATGGTGGACGTTTCTGATCTATAAGGTAACTTGGTTGATGTTTTGGATCTATAAGTTAACTTGCTGGATGTTTTAGATCTATAAGTTAACTTACTGGATGTTTTTGATCTATAAGTTAACTTTGTGGATGTTTCTGATATAACAGACATCATTCCTGGAGAACGGTGTGCCTCGGACCGTCAGAGTGACCAAACCTCTCCACGACTCCATCATGGGCCGGCTCAAGAAGACCTTCTCAGGCTCTTCTGGTCAGATCTCTCCGGTCAAGGGCCTGAAACGGCTGTGTAATGGGGAACTAGACGGCAAGAACAAAAAGGGAGACGACGACGGTACAGATAAAGATGCTGACTCCACTGGAGGTGGTGGAGAAGATGCAGGAAGCAACAAGGTTTCCATGGAGGAATGTGGAGACCCCGAAACCAGCGATGCCAACCATGAAGACGAAGCTGCTGACGCTAGCGATAACAATACAACTCCCAATATTTCAAATGGCGAGGCTGTAAGAGGAACACTGGTACATTCGAGTGCAAATGCCTCCAAATTCTTGTTTAAGAATGAAGGCCGGATGGAGTCTGAAGAAGAGACGGTCTTGGACAATGGAACTGTAGGATCTCCGAAGATTGTGTTGACAAGTCCCAAGTCTAAAGACGAGACCAGGGCGAACTCACTTCCCAGAGCGCAGACTTTTGATTCTGGTGTTGGCGAATCTTGCAGAAGTCCTTGCCAGAAGAAATCTATTGAGATTGTACAAAATGATGACGAGATTACAGTCGTGGTTAAGGGCGATCTATGTGTCCGTACTGAGGATCTTTCTTCTACGGACCCTAACACTCCAAAGAGGTTCATCATCTCAAGTTCCAAACATAGCCAAAAACAAATAACCAATAATAATAACAATAACAACACAATATACGGGAAAGAAATCACAGATAACAACCAACCAAACAACACTGTGAACACAGGCAGTAGCCCCGGGACGATCTCTAGAAGCGGGAGCAAGAAAAGAAGTGGCCGAAGTAGCCCCAAGTCTCCTGGTCGTGTGAGCCCCACGGGCACCAGAAACTCACGGAGCCCAGTCACTAGCCCCACCAAACACGCAAAGCCAGGATACACGAGTGATGACGAGAATGGATTCACAAGAAGCTCCTCGGACAAACGACGGTAAGACTTTACTATCATTTTTAGTTATTTAAACTATGCTGTCGATGTCAAACATGGACACTGTCTTCGGAAGACAAAAGAAAAAATAGTCACGACAGAAATGAAATGTTTACGTACTATGCTAGGTAAAGGTAAAGGTAAAGTCGGGAGATGTGAACCAGCGTCATTGCACACGGTTATAAACCATAAGTGCTCTGCCACCAGTACGGAAAGCTGATAAGAATTACCCGCCTGTGTCGCCGTTAGCACGTAACTCTGTAGCTACAGCGACGTTCCTCCATTAACCCCAGAAGTCAACTCTGGTACCCATTTCCTAGAGGCTGAGTGAACCCCGGAAGCCCGGGCTCGAACACCGACCTTGGGCTGCAGCGAGTCGCAGCTGGATTTGAAAGCGAGCTTCCTATCGACTGCACTAACGCGGCCCCCTACCGTGTCTATGCTAGGTGTAACGAGGGAAGATCGACTTAGAAACGATGTTATCAGGAGGAGAGTCGGCACATAACCAATACTGAACATTATAGGTAAACAAAAAATCAAACGGTTTCGCCATGTAATAAGATTGGCATCAGACAGGGCAATGTTATACAGATAAAATAGTAACAGAACCAGAGGGGGACCACGCAGAATATGGATAAATCCTAGACACAGAAAAGTACTTCAGACGAGGCAGAAGGGCCCGTTCCAGAGATACCTTCCTGCACTGACGCTGAGAGGCATTACAGGAATAGAGAAAAGCAGAAGAAGGATGTTTAAATGCTCACAAAATCAAACGGTTTAGTTCACCATATCGGTTCCGCCGCTCCACTGTGGAGAACGAAGGAAAGAGCCACTACCCATAGCAAGCATGTCCTAATAGTCATCTAATAAGAGATGTTTCTTTTAAAGTCGGAATGCATCTGTCCGAAAGGTAGCGAACTAAGTCTGCATAAAAACAATCCTGATTTGTAAAACTGAAAATGTCACTAACATTCAAAATCTAGGCTTAACGATAAACAAAAATAGAGACTCGTAAACGCAAGTCAAACGGAGGGTGTTCATAGCACTGCAAAGATGAAGCTGCATTGAAAGTCTGTTGTTGAGCACCAGCAAAGGAAATCGAACACAAAATCGTGAGAATACGCATTTTCACTGTAGCAACATAGTGATGCGAATCGTGGACAATCTGGAAGTCAGTAAGGAAGATAATAAGGGCTTTTGAGATGAAAAGCTATAGGAAGATTCTCAGAATACCGTGAACATAGAGAAAACAATACTGACATCCCAACAGATAATAACATCAGGGAAGAGTTTTGACATATGAGTTATGATTTGGGTAATCTTCGCGGCACTCCAGACACGTCCATAGGTGCTCAGATTCCCCCATCAACATATACATCAGCGTCCCGAGGTTGATGGTCACAGTGCTATTTAGGTTGATAAGACTTCTCCTGCGTCCTGTCTGATTCTCGTGACTGGCTGTGCCGATCTTAACTCTTAATTCTTGCTCTCTTAGCAATGATGTGAAAGTGTTGCTCCCAAAGTCCTCAAAACGTCCTACCTCTCTAATGACATTAACAGTGCTGACATGATCCATGGGCCGGAAGAATGAATGAATGAATGAATGAATGAATGAATGAATGAATGAATGAATGAATAAATCAATAAATGACATAATTTCTCTCGGGACATTCCTATACGCGCTCCGTCCCCTTCTTCATTAGCCAAGGAAGACTAAGGAAGATTGCCTAGTAAACAGCATCTTGCCTCAGACACTGACATATGTTAGCCATATCAAACGCCACTGTGATATGGAAAGTATAGTAGCAGAAGGCCTTGCGCTAGATACAGGGATCGATCAGCACGAAGGTAGGAGCAGGATATCAATCACAGTAGGAGAGTGTACACGGCGGGAGAGCTACTGAGGGGGTAAGCTTCTTTCAGGCACACCGCTACGAGAGCGACGTTCTGCAAAGGACCTGCTACATGATGGTAATGACAAAGTATGCAGCCAACTTCAAGAAAACCCGTGTGCCAGTAATTTTGGGCTTAGGACATTTAAGAAGGTAGATATTTTTTTTAATTTGTTTTTTTTGAGAAGTGGCTGAAGCGCCTTAAAATGTGTTGGATTTCAGTTAAGGACTCCTCCCTGAGTGGCTCTAGTTTTTAAGCCATTCACCAGATCTGTGGTTTTCTGGTCTCGTTGTCTGGAGGAGGTAGGGAGGGGGAAAAGGGGACAGACCGACTGCCCTTCAACAAACAAGTTGAAATTCGACTGATGTGGGGTTTGCTAAAGACGAATGTGTTGGACAAAGAGGCGTAGACATCGCAGCCTAGCTGCAAAATACAAACGACGTGCTAGCTACACTTTTAGATCGAAAAGAGATGAAGAAGCAGAAAGAATTAGATAATGATGTTGACGACTATGATGATATAAGGATGACGACGATGATGATGATGCTGAGAATGATGAAGTTACTGGCGATGATAATGTTGTAATGATAACGATTTTAATAATGATTATAAGGATGTTAATGATGATGTTGATTTTAATGACAATGATGACGAAGATAATGATGTTAATGATAATGATTATAGTAAGGATGATTACGATATCAATAGTGATGATGACGATGATGATGATGCTACTGACGACTATGTCGGTGTTGTTAATGATATCGAGGCCATTATATTATCTTACTTGCGATCTTTCCCTAGGACGGCTTCTCCCAGTCTTGGACGAAGAAGGAGCTCGGACCGACGCAGTTCTGTCGCCTCAATGGGCATGAGTCCAAAGAAGTTTGTCAAAGTGAAGAACCTCCTGGATGAGAAAACTTACGTGGATACTCTTCACCAGAAAGTTATTACTGTGAGTAGTTTGGTCTGGTAGTCTGGCAGTCTGGTAGTCTTAGTTTCAGCTTCATAGCAACGGGTCGCCCCATCTTTGCTCCGCTCCTGTGCCAACGAAAAACACCCAGAATGTTTATCACAGTCCCTTGTGGAAAGATTGACCGACTGCTGTCTCAGCATATTTAGCATACACTCGCATTAAAGCATACGGTAGCCATCCGAAGTGCTAACACAAACAGTCCAACATTAGAAATGCAGTTCATCATTGATGAAAGCAGAATTGTCGCCAACAGTTCAGCAGTTGTCCACGCGATCAATTTTAACCAGATACGGGCACCGCCAACATTGCACGCCATTTTCTGAATCTACAATTCACACCACCACGTTGGTCACAGTCGAAAAAACATTCCAAATGAAATCCGCAGCTCACAGGGTCACGCCATGCATTCAACTCAGAAGCTGGGCGACGAAACTATATCCAGTCTACAAATGGAGCAAAAATACTTCGGCCACCGTCCGGCAGAAGCAAAAAATTAGCCTCTGCTTCGAACAGTGCCGCTGTCTAGCGTCTACTGTGAGTAGATAACGGCTTGTGTTGTTTGCGTTGTGAACCTGTGGATTCAGGAAACGGCGAGTGGTTTGTCGCCACAGAACTGGTGCCGCCTTGTGCGATTAATTGCGTGTGCAACTGCGGAATTGTTGTAGATGGTGCTTCTATGGATTGTGTTGATTGCGTTGTGAACCTGTCGATTCAGGAAATAGCGAGTGGCTTGTCGTCACAGAACTGGTGTAGCCTTGTGCGATTAGTTGCGTGTGCAACTGCTGAATTGTTGTAGAAGGTGCTTCAATGGATTGTGTTGCTTGCGTTGTGAACCTGTAGATTCAGAAATAGCGAGTGGCTTGTCGTCACAGAAGTGATGTCGCCTTGTGCGATTAATTGCGTGTGCAACTACTGAATTGCTGGCGACAGAGATCAGTTTAATATTCGCGCATGGGTACGCGGGTGTGCAAGGAAATAAGTAAGCTCATAGGCTTGTTGGTAAAGCGATTGTGGAGGGTGGACGAGCCATGGACCAGGCTGGTCTCAGTGGCGAAGTGGTCAAGCCGTTTGTCTCGCTCTTTGAAGGTCGTGGGTTCCTTTCACCGCGGTGCCGTTCAGATTACGAGTACAATTTTTTGGAGATCCCCGGGGATTGTCGCCAGAGTTATGGTGGTCGTCTCTGTGTGAGCTCTCGGCAGGCAGCTAGCTTTTTTGTGCAGAGAGAGAGAGAGAGAGAGAGAGAGAGAGAGAGAGAGAGAGAGAGAGAGAGAGAGAGAGTGAGCCATATGGGATAAAACCCGGTGAAATGAAGTCTATCCTCTCGCCTAACTTTTATGGTAAATGGTTTATGAGATCTTATGGTCTAGCCGCTACACCACGGCGACTTTAAGACAGATAAGTAGATAAAGAGATATGTGAGATAGTCATATATATATATATATATATATATATATATATATATATATATGTGTGTGTGTGTGTGTGTGTGTGTGTGTGTGTGTGTGTGTGTGTGTGTGTCTGGTAGTCTGGCAGTCTGGTAGTCTTAGTTTCAGCTTCATAGCAAACGGATCACCCCATCTTTGCTCCGCTCCTGTGCCAACGAAAAACACACAGAATGTTTATCACAGTCCCTTGTGGAAAGATTAACAGACTGCTGTCTCAGCATTTCTAGCATACACTCGCATTAAAGCCTACGATAGCCATCCGAAGTGCTAACGCAAACAGTCCAACATTAGAAATGCAGTTCATCATTGATGATAGCAGAACTTGTCGCCAACAGATCAGCAGTTGCCCACGCGATCAATTTTAATCACATACCTGCACCGCCAACATTGCACGACAGGCATCGCGCCATTTTCTGAATCTACAGTTCACACCACCACGTTGGTCACAGTCGAAAAAACATTCCAAATGCAATCCGCAGCTCACAGTGTCACACCATGCATTAAACTCAGAAGCCGGGCGACGAAACTATATCCAGTCTACAAATTGAGCAAAAATCCATCGGCCACCGTCCGGCAGAAGCAAAACAAAATTGCCTCTGCTTCGAACAGTGCCGCTGCCTAGCGTCCATTTTAACCTGTGTGTGTGTGTGTGTGTGTGTGTGTGTGTGGTGTAGTGTCAGCCCACCAATAACC